CAAAGGATTGCTTACGTGACTCTGGCAAAGATTCACAAAGCTCCACCAGCCATGGACTGCTTTGGTTTGAATGTGTCCTCCAAAATGAATGTGATTAAAACTGAATCCCCAGTGCAATAGTATTGGGAGATGAGACCTAATGGGAGAGTTTGGGTCATGAGAGCTCTGCCTTCATGAATAAATTAATGGTATTTTTAAAAAGGCTTTGAGGAGTATGCTCTCTCTCTTGCCATTCTGTCTTTTGCCATGAGATGACACAGCCATAAGGCCCACATCAGATGCTAGTTTCTTAATCCTGGGCTTCCCAACCTCCAGAACTGTGAGAAAATAAATTTCTGCTCATTATAAGTTACTTAGTCTTAGGTGTTCTGTTATAGCATCACAAACAGAATAAGACAGTGGGTTTAAGAGCTGACAGCGGGTTTAGAGGAGAAATGATCACAATGTATTGAGTGTTGTCAGTGTGGGAAGTGGGTAGGGCAAGAACATCACACACACCCCCACACTGTCTGTTTAGAGAAGACCTCAACAGACTAAGCCACCAGCAGAAGACAGAGGAAATCCCAATTCAGGCAGAAACTCCCCTGCCCTGGAAGTGACTACTTACGTAAATAAAAGCCCTGCCTCCATTTTCTTACTTTTCTAGCCTCCTTACATAGGGTGTACTTAACCAAGTGAGCAGAGGTGGGGAGAAAGTTCCCTCTGGTAAAGACACATCCTCTGTGTGCCAAAAATACAGCAAAATGTTCTCTTCTGTCCCCTTTGGGTACCTTAATCACAAATCAAGTCTGTGTAGTGACTGCTTATCATAAATGGAAGTGACCAGGATGCTATGCAAACTGCCAGGATAATGAATGAACAAAAAAAAAAAAAAAGAAAGAAAGAAAGAAAGAAAAAGAACAGAGAAATTATACAAAACACATTTAAACTCAGTGACCGATAAAGAATGAAACCAACATTAGTTCATGTAAGGTTCACAGAGGTTGACATACCTCAGTAAAACAGAAAGAGATTTACAAATATGTATAAATATTAATAGTATCATACAAAAGCATTGTATTTTATACATTTTTCATTTGAATAAAGGTTAGATTTTTCTAAGTTTCCTATTCCAGAAAAATATTTATATTCTAAGATTTTCCTAGAAAATGGTTCACTTCAAAGTGATTTCCATATTACTGCACTAGAATTATGCACACATCTTCTATTTTAGTATCCTTACACATCTGTTTCTCTCTCTTTCTCTCCTATAATAAAAGAGAAATATATTTCTGCCCACCTATATGACATCTTTTAAAGATCCTGCCATTACTGCTAACTCAACATAATCAAAATTCAAATCCCAACCTTCTCATTGCTCCTACCTCCTGTCTTGGAATCACTTTTCAACCTAATATCTCATTTCTATGAGTAGTTATAAAGGCATAAAGTCACTTTGACACTTGGACTTCTTTTAATCTCAATAGATAATATAGCTCCAATATCTCTTTTCTTTAGTTTCAAATATCTATTATGGTTATACTTTAAAAATTAACCATAGCCATAGTTGTAACATAATTTTAAAATAAAATGTTTTTTTTTTCCTCTATATAGAATTCTTCTTGTAGGCTGATCCAACTTACAATAGCAATGTTATTTCACTTAAAAAGTATCTTATTGGCTTTCAAGTCCTTCCATATTTGTGTTATGCATGTCTCTTTGTTTATTCATTTTATTATAAAACCGTTTATACCCTAGAATAGTTATCAGGAAGCTTTCCAATTGCTATGCCTGTCTGATTTAGTTTCAAACACATACTTTCTGTTCTAATTAATCTAGTCTTCACTTTTTCTTTCTGCCACACATGCTTTGTTCGTTGTTACTTCTGTTGTTTGGCCCATGCCACCCCCTTCACTTCTCTGACACGCAAATTTTAATCATCTTTCAAAGACACAGACATTTTAATGTCTCTATTAAACCTCATCTGACTGCCTAAGTCCCTTTTGACCTCCCTGAAAACAGTCACAATACCAGTTATTTGAACAGGGAAGATTTTTCTGTGCAGAATTATTTAACCATGTATAGGAGAAATAAAAAGGCAAGAAAAAAAGGGGGGGGGGCTAAGAGTTACCACAGGAAGCAGCTGAGATTCCTAAGGCTGCAGAGGGAAAATAGAAGAGGTTGAAATTACTAAGAGGCCAGGAGAGCTCATATTCAGAGTTTTCATAAGCCCTGATACCAACTCCCAGGTCAGCTGGTTCCAGTATCAGGGAATATAGGGTAATGAGATTGGGTTTGGGGGTTTGGAACAAAAACAGGAAATTAGACTTAACTAAAAGTGGGGAACAGTTGCCATAGTCAGGATAAAGATAAATAGTTTGGATAATGCTGAAAGAAGCAGGAGCAGAGCGTCTTCTTGTTCTAATATCAGCTCCTATGTGAAGAACCTTTCATTGAGTCTGCCGATATAGGAGAAGTCTCATATGGAGGGTCCCTGGCTTAGCTCCATGACACAGTATTGCAAGGTGATTTTTTAGCTAGGAGAAAGTAGCTGCTGTATAGCCAGCACATTTGTTAAGCTTTAAATATACCATGAAAAATTTCACTGAATTATATTGCCTATGTATTTGAAAATTTATTCTTGCTTTGAAACTCAGAAGACAGTGCCATATATAGTATTTTGATTAAGGTCTGTATTTATAAAAGCTTATAAAACTAAAAAAATTTATAAAAAATAATTTAATATTCCATGTTAAGCTGTTAACTGACAAATTGACTTAATTGCATGATATATCTTGCATGCTATTTTGTGGGAATTCAAGCTCAGTCACTCCCTAAACTAACTCTTGGTGTTATCTAGATTTATTTATAACTTGATTATCATGATTCTATCAGTTTGAAGGCCACGGAGTTCTATTACATTGACAATGATTATCAGGTTTTTAAAGTCACTATAGAAGTATGTATATCACAAATTAATCCCCTTCCCCCCCAGTTATTTGAGAATCCTGGATTTACCACCTAAACTATTCTCAGTAAATTTTTACATTTTATATTACTGCATGCTCAGCATTTTTAAGCCTATCGTAGTCTATGCCCTTAGAGAATTATATTTTAAGATATAGTATTAGATCATTTCAGGCAATAAAACTATTTTAATGTTTTAATGAGAGTATTAAATGGCTTCATTTGGCATTCCTGCTGTCCCAAGGTCATTTAATCATTCTCTAACAAACTAAAAGAATGTCATCACTTTATTCTGTCCCCTATGAATAGTCCAAAATAAACATTTCCAAATTCTGGGTTTTTTCCCAAAACCAAATAGGTAAACCATGATAATAATACATAATTTTATATATAATTATATATAAATAAAGAGGAGAGGAAAAGTGCTGAAAACAGAAATGCTAGTGGATTCCATAGAAAGAGTACTATTGGGCAGAGTCTAAAGGGCTGAAAATATAAGATAGCTTGAAGGTTTTTAAAGGGAGAATATAAAAGCATAGATGCTCTTCCATATCTTGACAGACAGCAGTGACCTAAGCAGAAAACTAAAGCTTACAGATTCTATTGGTTATAGACACAAGATAATCAAAATTCATACCCTATGAAGTTGTTATTGGTTCAAACATATGCTGGACTCACCTGTAACAGATATACTAAATGTGGAGATCTGACACCATCTTGACAACTGAACTAGATCTACACATTGAAGATGAAAGCTCTATACCTCCCCCTAGCCTCGTTCCCACAATGTCTGTAGATAGCCTTATGCCCTAACTGCATTTTCCAAGGAAAGAGATGGAAGAATTTCTTTCTGTTAAAATTTATTTGCCAAGGGGAAGAAACTTCAGAAAATGAAATTTGGGCTCCTCTACTAAAAAAAGCAATTCTCATCAGTCAATTAGTCTCAGCGAGGCTTCAAAGTATACAATTATCATTTTAGTGCATCATTATTAATTATAAAGGCATAACTGTGCAACATTTAATGTTTTTTCATAAACTGTTTTATTTTTCCTGTCCTTGCCATATGGCAGAGTTATAGTTTCTAGCTGCGTTGAATTTAGGCATGGCTGCAGGACTTGTTTTGGTCAATAGAATGTGAGTAGAATTGGATTTTTTTCATTTGTGGACAGAAATATTAAGAGCTTCTTTCTGCCATAGTCATTGTATACAATCCAAAACTTCCACCATTTCATTAGCCCAGGTCACAGAGAAAACGTGATGATGACAGAGAGCTTATCCCCAACACAAAGCGTGATGAATACAGAGCAGGAGACAGAAATTAAATGCTGCTTTAGTGATAAGACTGTGGGGATTTATTTTTTTCAGTATAATGTAGATGTGCTTTCTGACATAATCATGAAAATTTTTAAGACATTTGTAGAAAATCTTTAATGAAAGACATAAAACAACTAAAAGGGAAAAATAATTCAGAGAAAAAATATGTATATAAATACTTTGAGAGAAAACTATGAAACTAGGAAATCTTAGAATTATAAGAGAAAACACTGTATTTATTACAAAAAATAGTGGACAATAAAATAAAGAACATTCAGATGACAGTAGCTCTTTGAAAATTAAATATAAGATAGATATTCAAAATAGCACAAGATATAAGTTGAGAAAATTTTTCATAAACTAAGAAAAATATGAAGATTTTTAAAAATATAAGAATAAAGGTACAGATATAAGCATTCTCCAACATCCTTATAATATGATTTAGAGAATACCATAAAGAAAGAAAATATGAGAAAATAAAGAAGAAAAGATACTAAATTAAAAAATACAAATTATCATTTTGAAATGAAATGAATATTCTAAAAGAAAAATCCCCCCAAAAGGAAAAAATAAATTTATAAACTCATACCAGGACCACCATTGTAAAATTTTGAGAGGCAGAGGAAATCAGTTACTCTAAAGAGATTAGAAGTCAAAGTGGCTTCAGACTTCTTAAGAGCACAACTAGAACATAGAATGTCAAGAAAAAGAAGTCTCCACTATTCTGACAAAATGTCCTTCATAACAAAGGATTATTTATGTGGTGAAGCCATGATTCAAGGAAAACTATCAAAAATATTTCATCAGTTGAGTTTCTCTAAACAGATACTTCACTAACTCTAATGAGAACTTTCTCAAGAAACTACAGAAGAAGGTGTTCTGCATAATTTTGGGAGTATACTCAGAAAGAAGAAGGTAAGAAATTCTGTAATTGGAAACAAGTGATCCTGCATAAAAATGAGGTAAACAAATTTTCAGAATAATGAACAAGAGAAATGCTCAAAAAGAAAACTTGTAGAATGACAAAGAGGACACCAGGAGATACATCCTCAAGGAGGGAATAAAAACCAAAGGATAAAAGAAAAAGAGGGAGGAAGACAGGGAAGAAAGAAAAAATTAGAAAAAGTACAAAACAATTATTGCTCTTGAAAATAATGACAAGATAGTTTTTTTATATTTGTAAGTGTTTGTAATGTAATTCATAAGTACATAAAGTTGGCAAATGAAAAAAATGAGGTAATGATAATTTTTAACAAAGACACTAAAAATCAATAAAGACAATTTAATCATAGCGTACTCTGTGTCTTAGACTTAATACTCAGACAACAGAGTATAAAAAATGGAATATTGATATTATTTAAAAGGTAGTTTAATTTTATTGAGAAAATTAGAAAAACATAGAATGAAATGAATAAATGTATGTAGCCAATAGCAGATTTAAAATATCATAAACTTAGGCTGGGTGTGATGGCTCACACCTGTAATCCTATCACTGAGGCTTATAATCCTAGCACTCTGGGAACCAAGGTGGGTGGATTGCTGAGGTCAGGTGCTTGAGACCAGCCTGAACAAGAGCAAGACCCCATCTCTACTAAAAATAGAAAAACTTAGCCAGGCCTCCTGACCCATGCCTGTAGGCCCAGCTACTCAGGAGGCTGAGGTAAGAGGATCACTTGAGCTCAGGAGTTTGAGGTTGTGGTGAGCTATGATTATGCCACTGCCCTCTAGCTGGGGTGACAGAGCAAGATTCTGTCTAAAATAAAATAAAATAAAATATCATAAACTTAATTCACATTAACATCAATATATAATATAAAACATGTAAAGAAAAGCAAGAAATGGTAGTGAATTTAGAAGTGTGGAAACAAATAGCAGATAAAGAAAGTCAATGACTTAAAAGTAATTATGAAGAGAATGAATTTAGAAGGAGGAAAGATAAAATAGAATGGTTGTTGCTTGTAATTTTAAGCCAAACTGTATTTTTTTAATTTTCAAAATCTAAGTATAAATTGCTGTGATAAACATACTATATAATAATTAAAATAATTACATGCATAGCATTTAATGTATTTTTCTGAATATATATATATAAATTATGGTTATGCATTTATTATGATTATTATTTATTCACTTTGGGGAATAATTGTGTAAGAATTTAAACAAAATAAAAACAATGCTGTTATAATAGCAATGAATAGGATATTTTACTTTTAAAATTTTCCTTGAATGTTGTTATATGATTGTTTTAGCAATGAATTAAAATTGGAAAAAAATAGATGAAGAAAAATAGGTATAGCATTATTGAACAAAAGTGAGAAAAACATATATCTATTTATAATACCCATAATTTGATCTATTAATTCACAGGCAAAAGGCCTGGAAACATAGGCACCAATGTTTCTTCTCTTGAATGGCAAGTAAAAATTATATATATTTATGATGCACAATATGATTTTTTGGTCTATATATACATTTTGGAATAGCTAAATCTATTTAACATATGAATTACCTTACATACTTACTGTTTTTTGTTGTTATTGTCATGAGAACAATTTAAATGTACTCTTAGCAATTTTCAAGTATAAAATATATTGTTATTAACTATAGACACACTAGGATGTACTATTGATCTCTTGAACTTATTCCTCCTGTATAACCGGAATTTTCTATTCTTTGACAAACATCTTTTCACTTCCCCCAACATTCAGCCTCTGGTAACCACCATTTTACTTTTGTTCCATTTGAGTTCAACTTTTTTACATACCCTGCATAAGTAAGATCATGTGGTATTTGTCTTCTATGCCTGATTTATTTCAATTTAACATAATAACCACACTGTTCATGATATCACCAATGAAAGAATTTCCTTTTTTAAGGCTTAATATTATTCTAATTTATATATATACCATGTTTTCTTTATCCATTCATCTGTTGATGGACGCTGCTGGTGATTCCATATCTTCACTGTTGTGAATAATGCTGAAATAAACATGGAAGTTCAGGTATCTCTTTGACATACTGACTTCAGATCCTTTGGATATATACCCAGTAGTGGAATTAGTGGAACAAATGTTAGTTTTATTTTTGAGTTTTTGAGGAACCTCCACACTGTTTCCAATCATGGCTATACTAATTTACATTTCCACCAACAGTGTTCAAGTGTTCCCTTTGTGAGGTTCCACAACTTCACCAACACTTGTTATCTTTTGTCTTTTTGATAATAATTATTTTAACAGGTATAAAATGATATTTCATTTTGATTTTAATTTGTATTTCTCTTATGATTAGTGATGTTGACTATTTTTTATCTATTCCTGTTGGTCATTTGTATAACTTCTTTTGAGAAATATCTATTCAGGTCTTTTTCTGATCTTTTAATTGGATTGTTTTCTCACTATTGAGTTATTTGAGCTTCTTCTATATTTGAATATTAATCCATCAGATATAGGTTTGCAAATGTATTCTCTCATTCCTTAGATTATCTTTTCACTCTGTGGATTGTCTACTTTGCTGTGTAGAAGATTTTTAGTTTGATGTGATCTCATTTGTCTATTTTTGATTTTGGGTTCATATTAAAAAAAAAAAAAGAAAGAAATCATTGCCCAGACGAATGTCATGGAGCTTTTCCCCTAATTTTTTTCCTAGTAGTTTTACAGTTTCAGGTCTTAAAAAATTTAACCAAGAATGGATTTTGAGTTGAGTTTTGTATGTGGTATGAGATGATGGTCCAATTTCATTGTTTTGTATGTGGATATCCAGTTTTCCCAACATCATTTATTGAAGAGACTGTCCTTTTCCCATTGTATATTCTTGGCATCTTTGTTGAAGATCAATTGACCACAAATGTGTGGATTGATTTCTGGGCTCTCTCTTTTGTTACATCAGCTTATTTGTCTGTTTTTAAGGCACCATTAATGGTATTTACTTGCTGTTGGGGTCAAAGCTTACATTTTTTCATTTTATATAGTTTCTAATGCACATATATTTTATAAAGATGATTTACATCTAAAAAATCATTTAAAAGTTGTTTTAAAAACCAAAAAGAAAACCATAAGCAAAAAAAAGAAGAATCTTATACCCTCAAAAAAAGCCTCAAAATTCAGAAAGAAACAGTAACTTTAAAAGGAGCAATAAATATCCCAGTAATTACAAACAAGAACCTCTAACCAAAGAATCAAATGTAGCTCCAACCCCTCCCCTGAATTTTCTGATGCTCTGTAATAATTCCAGAAGTTGGATACAAAACTGAGGAAAACAAATTTAACCAAGAATGGATAAAAGTATGTTTCTATTCTATCTGAGAGAAATTAAATTGTTATAGAATAATAAAGCATAATATACTATATTTCTTATCTATCTCTTTACCTGATATAGGGTAATTATTGATGAATACTGTTCAATTTTATCTATAATTGTTAATCCAAGTACAGCAATAGTGGATACACTCAGATTTTGCGTAAAGAAAACTATAAGTAGTTGCAATAAAATATTTTGGATATAAAATTAGGATCTGTGCTATATTAAAATTTCCCTGTGTGCATACACTTATATTAATAAAAGCAAATACAGTTTATCATTTGCATGCTAACAATTAAATTAGAAAATGTATATAAGTATTTTGTATATGAAGGACCTTTAGTTTGCCTGGTTTTATTATTATATATGCTAAATGTGATAGTGCTATAATCAATATTCTTGATTCAGGTAATATTTCCCTTGAGTAGCCTGAATGTCAACATATACTGTAAATGCTGTCATAATTGTTGTCCAATGTCTAGTAATTGCAACTTATGCAATATATAAATACAAATATTTCAATATAAAGAACACAGAGTTACCCAATGATTAATAGAAAAATAAGTTAATAGAAATTAGAACCTTACAAGAAATCTTATTTCCAGGCTAACAATACTTTTTTGCTACAAAGATTCAGAGATCTAAAAGACCTTTCACATGCTATCATGGCATTATAAGAGAATACCTCTAATATTTGTGAATATAACATATATTTTTATACATTTTAATGGTAATCAGAAATGTATGAGCATTTTACATTTCTTTCTGATTTGCCTTAATAAAACTTTGGTACAGAAATACATTGCAATTGTGTTCTCATGCTCAATGAGACAATTTTCAAGATTTATGGATCATTTTGGCCAGCCCTGGCAATGTAAATATTTTATATAAAAGATATATTTATCTTTGATTTCTACTTTTCTATTTAGTGAATCTTCATAAATATATTTTCCTTCTTCTCATTCTATATTTCTGAAGCTCAACTTTTGTAATGGCATGTCTAAATTTTCATGCTGTATTTTAATAGTACACTTACTATCACTAATTCCAGGCTTATTACTCAGGATGCTGGAGTTCTCAATTTTAGGGATTTATATCTACCCCAGGACAGCTACCAATACTAAAGAATTTGGCATAACTTTAATATATGTGGAAGAAGAAAGATCATTTTCATAAGATTTGTAAACAATTAGTAGTTTGAAAGTACCCAATAAATGGTTTGATGAAGACTTATTTGCCTTTTACTAAGGTCTACTCCTGACCTGTTTTGGGAGATGACCAAATAATAGTCAGATATTGCCATACTATTGACCCTTAGTAGCCTTAAAATGTATAATGACACACATCTTTTAATTGAATTATGGAAGTACGTTATTGTGTTTCAGGAATGGACAAGAGGTTGCATTCTGTTAAGAGGTCAGGGAAGGTAATGGTTTATAGATATTTGTTGGATGTAGCAATATGGAAATTATTGGCAATTTTAGCCACATTTATTGAAAAAAAGGTAGATATAGATAAAAATTAGAAAAATGTTAAGCAAAATAATGACAAATTTATTATAATGTAGGTAGACTTCTAAGAAATCGCCCTAAATTTCCATGCTATAGTGTATACACTCT